GCGGCGACCCCGCGGCCCCAGGGGCGCCGGAGGATCTTCTAGCCAGGGGCTGCCAGACCTGCTTCGCTTTCTTTTCTTCGGAATGCACGGCTTTCTGGATGAGATCTTCTTTACCTTCTTCTTTAATGTGCTGGGACGGGGGGACGGGACGAGCAGCGGCCACACGTCGCTTTGGTCCTTCTTAATGTATGGCAGCTGCAGTTTTGTGGTGGAAAAACTCTACTTCCACCTCCACTACAGCCGCGGCTGGGGCACCTGGAAGCGGGTGCCAGTCTACGTGATCTTCATCTATGCGTGGGAGTTGTCCTGGGGTCTGGGACTTCGCACGTGCGGGGCTTGTTCCTGGGATTATTCTCACTATCCGCTCAATTTCATGGGCCTCATCACCCTGTTGTACTTACCTGGTTGGATATTCCTTAGTGTGTACCAGGACCTACTTTCCAACGTGTTGTGGCGGGTGCAGTATGTGCCAGCTAACTGACACCAGAAAAAAAGGAAAGAAGAAAAGTCATTGGAATCCCACGAATGAATGCGATTTATTTTTACATATTTTAGTCTTTTAATTTTTATACACTTTACTAAACTCTTCCAACCTGTTTTCGATACTTTAGTTTTTCTGAGCACTTGGAACCTATGTATAATACAATATTTTGAAATACTGTACTACTCGAAAATCATTGAAAGTACTTACTAACATCAATATTTTAAAACCTTTACAAGCCCAAACAGTGAAACCATTATACCTTAATATCAGAAAGCTGTAGTACTCACTTATATGAATGTAGATGGGTGATAGCTATTAATTTTTCCTTTTTTAATGTAGAAGTTCTGTCAGAAACCAGTCATTTTTATAAAACTTAGAGCAGTTTTATTTTTTTCTTAATCTGATTTTATGTTAATTCCTTGCTATATTTACCAATGACAGCGGAAACTCTTATGTCTTGTACTTCTGAAACTGCAGTTTATAGCTCTTAAAGTGCCTCTGTCTAGCATACAAGTGAAAAGAAGCGACAAATGTGGGAAAAAATCCTATGAACAGATTTTGAAATGAGAAATCTTTTCTAACAGCTCAAACAGGTGACACTGTGTGCAGATATTTGATCACTGTCCTGGCAATGATTGTTTTCCAATCATTCTGTTAGCCTTAAACACCAAGTGTGTTAATCAGATCCTGTGTTATCTATTGCTGTAAATGTTTTGTTACTGTGCAATAATGTAAAAATTAACTCTACGTGCCCCCCGGGCCAGGTGAAATTATACTATATTCAGTAGTGTTCTAACATTAAGGTACATTTTCTACATGGAGATTTAAGCACAGAAACACAGTACCTTGGAATAAAATGAATCTGAATGGTACTACTAATTGCCTTAGGCCTAATTGTTTTCTATGATTACTGATACATATGTGTTTTCAGCATATTTCTGCCATGATTCATTTGTGTACATTTTTTCCCCCCCTCTGTGCCCAGAGTTCTTGGGCCAGACCTGATTTTTGCTTTGTAAATCAATAATAGCTTTCTGGTGACTTCTTAATATCTGGAAGCTCCAAAGTTAAATGAGATGGTGGAAGCCATTTTAAGAAATCATGTCTAATTAATTAATAAGGTACTATGAGGTTGTTTGCTGTTTCACTATATTTGGAAAAGACAAATGGATTGAGCATGACTGAGTCAAGGATGACTAATACCTTCTCAGCTTTCATTATGAAGATAATTAGGAAGACTTGCAGAGTGTATTGAATGAGTAGATCCCCGTTCAAATCATCCACTTGCTTAAGATGTAAAGGGGATGTTGTCCTGCTTTCAAAAAATATTTGCTATGAGAATAGAAAAAACCACGTAGATTTAAGTCAGGCATGGTTCTAAGAATATTGTTATTTTAACTCACTCCCTGAGGCTGAGAGCTGAATTATAAATAATGCTGTACACTGACACACACACACACACACACACACACACCCCGTGAAATGGTTCATGTCAAGTTGATTAGTCAGTTTAAACCTCAGTGGAAACTTAAAAGTAACTTGGCTGAGAATTTCACTGAAGTTCTTTATGACACTTAGTCACAGGCCAAAGATTTCTAAAAACGTTGGGCAGAAAATTCTCTAAGCACAGACACTAAGGCAGATGCTAAGCCAGATTTGTGATTGACACATGAACCTACTTGTTATGTAGCACCCCTTCACACAACATGGTCCCACGAATATTTTATCCAATCCATGACTTCTAGGAATATGTGCACTACACTTTCACATGCTGCTCCTCCATTCTGCCTACCTGCCTGCCAGCATTCTCAGGGTAGAAAATCTGTCAAGAAGCAAGGAAGCGCATCATTTTATCTTGCTTTTCATAGTAATCCTATAAAAGGAAGGTCGTGATTTTCATTCATTCAGTTCATTTAAGAAATAATTTTTGATCTCCCATCATTTGCTAGGCATTTCTCTAGAAATTGGGGTACTGCAGTGTCCCAACATAGACAAAATGTCTGTTTTTACAAAGCCTACATTTCAGTGATTTTGATTTATGTGAGATTATACTTACTTGTAAGGCTGCTGTTTGCACAACAGGCTATGAGATTAGGTAGTGGTTATAAAGACTGTTGTCAATACTGTCCCTGGAATATCAATCCATCATCCCTAACAAAAGTCCATTAACAGTCCCTCTGCTACTTCTACAATGAACCAGTTATGTGTCCAGGGGAAGCCATTAGCCTATCTATTAAACCACCTTGCTCTAGGGCCTCTCTGTGTTTACACAACTTAACAGTGACATTTTGCAGCAACCTTTGAACTTATAAGGGAAAAACAGAAAAGAAGGAACTATCAGATAATTTAATTTTGTTAATAGTTAAGATACAGAACTGATAAGGCTGATAAAGCAATATAATGAGAGTTAATATTTACATATCATTTACCACCTGCCAAGAACTGCTCTAAGATGTTTACATATATGTATTTTAAAATATATATCAATAATTTAGTGGTTATATACATATATATCTTAAATGAATATACATCGTGTATGTATATATCATATTTTAAATATAAATTAATGTGTATGTATTCACTTGACCTTCTAATGGCTCTCATTTTATAGAAGAAGACAACAAAACTGAAACCCAAATAGATTAAATAACTTTCCAAGTCATATAGCTATTGAGCATTTAGATTTGCATCCAGATATGTGGGATTCCAGGGTCTGTTCTTAGAAGCAGTGTGGTCATGTCCCAGTCTACTGGCCACAATAATCTTGGATCTTTTATGGATTCCACTTCACAATCTGTATTCAGCTCTTCCACTATTCCAAGGGTAGCTGTATAAAAGCTACACACTATTACACAAAGATGCTTTCATGTTGCCCTGTTTGTTTTATGGTAAGTAGGAAGGGAGCTAATAGCGGAATACATTGCTGATATCAGCTTAGTTCTACTCCTCAGATGATGTATCTTTACATCCAAGCAGTGCTCAGAAATAGAGTTCCATGTTTAAAATCAGATAATTTCGAGTATAAAAATATAAGAATGATAAGCTAAGATGTAAGATACCTCTTTTAAGCTACTAAAAACCTATAATGATTGCTATACATTACAGTGCTCAGAACAAGTATCACTATAGGAGCTAAGCTGCCAAAAATTAAATATTTTACACAGATATTTATCCTGCATTTTATTAAATACTTGAGTCTAAAAAAAGTTCTTAATAGTAAAACAAACAAAAAGAAAAAACCCTAAGTTTTTGTCTATGTTTAGCATATACAGTACTGGAATTTCTTATGTATTAGAAGTGATTTAAATTTTAAATCAATTGTATTGATTCTTTTTAATTTGAAAAGGAGCATAATGTTTCAAATTTTTCATTTCAACAATGAATACAGAAGTTCCTATATCATAGTAGGACCTCAATAAGGTTGATAATCCATTTCTATGTTTCAAACATTTCTGTGATTTAGTGTACTTAGCAATGACTATTTTGTTATAAATGTTTGATATTTTAAGCTTCAATTTGACAAAACACAAAGCTTAGAAAAATATGACCTGTCTTTTATTGTTTAAGAAACATCTTTAGTTGGATAATTCTACCTTCTGAGAGAAAAAGAATTAGTACTGTTTTGAAATAAATAGTCTCTCTTATCATAATTGGCTTTGTTCTGTTTAAGACGGATGCTGAAGAAGAATTTTTGTAGACTGCTTTTGTTATTTTTCTACTTCCAAAATTCATGAAAATTATTATGTCTAGAATAGAAATTATACTTCTGATAAAGAGAGTAGTAAAAAATTGTATTTAATATCTGAAAGCATTTTAATAAATCAATTTTCCTTATATTAAAAATCATTACAATCTTTTACTTTTTCAATTAATTTTAAATACACTGTGCCCAACATTGCTTCCTGGAGCAAAGCTCCTTTACTGGAGGGAAGTAAAAAATGAGTCCTTTCACCTCCCTCCCCAAACACATACCTTAGTTTTTGTGAAAAAAAAAAAGCAGTTAAAGGTGATTCCGTCATATTGCCAGTTTTTCCCCCATACTCTTGGGCTTGGTACCAGAGGAAGGAATAGAAACAGTAATTGTTTTTTATAGACCTCTATTAACTACATTTGCCCTCATTCTAATTTTTACCATTGAGGCAACAAACCATCACAAAGATAGCAGCTTCCAGTCACTAACAACACAAATTTTAAATTAACCTGCAATGTGTGTGCAAAAACTTTTTCTCAGAATATTTTTTTCTCTTAATAAAAAGAAAATATAAAATATAGAGAAATTTCCCCTCTATTTTTAAACTATCATTCCAAAAATTGTCAAGGAAATTTCCATTCTGGGGAGAGAGGGAATTGGTCTTTGACATACAGAAAGGGTTAACTTTCTTCTTACTTCATAACAATTCTATTATAGTAGAAAAATCACATGGACTAAATTTCCCCATTAGAAAACATTATATGTTTATTATTAAGGAGAATTAGAGTGAAAAAACTGTGAAGGTTAACAAGATCAAGTCTTTACCCACAACAAAAATTTATATCTCTGAAAGATGAATTCTCAACTTTTCGACTGACTATTCAAGACAGTATTAATTGTGTTTTTCACACAAAGATTAAATGAAGGGAAAGCTGCATTAGTTGAGTTAATAAATTCTACTCTCGAGCAGTGAAGTAAGACAGCATCTAAAAAGTTCAGGAGCTAAGATAAGCCATTTAGCCTTCTCATTTAACACAATAAAACTTCTTTAAAGCAATTTTTATTTATTTTTAATCAGTATTTTATTCTTTGTCATAATTGTGGTATTCTTATTTCTTTTCAAACGGTTCAAGGTTTTCAGAACTTTGAAAAAACTGTAATTATTTCGGAAAATAAAAACACATAGGTTGCAGATATAGAAGTAAAAGATCACTGGAGTTTGAACCTGGTTCAATTCAACTTGGTTCAACGCGGGACAAGTGCTTGGCCAGCTGCCCCATTCCACCCACAGGACGTCACCTGGTAGAGTTTCCTGGTAACTTCTCATTGTTGACCTAAAAACTGTAGCAGAATAGAAATTTAGGTGCCATAGGTGTTCACAGAAACAAGTAGTCCAGGAAAAGTGGAAAATGCTGTGAATGTCCATTCAAAAATGTATTTTATTGAGAAAGAAGAAAATTAGCACCACTTTTGATGGGATTCTGATAGATATTTATAGTATATGTAAGACATTTTATTAATATATTCTTAATATCCAAGGCAAAATGATAGTAATGCTATAGGACCTCAGATTTAAAACTTTAAACATGTGCAAGACCATTACTTCAGAGAACAGTATTGATAGAAACATGCAGAAAGTTTATATTGTATTTTTGGTTACACATTAAATTTTAGGAACACTAATTAAATTACTTTGTGCATTTATATATTTATGAAGGAGAAGCATTTTAGTCTTAACCTTTTATTAGAACCAATAGCAAGAAAAAAATAAGAGTTCCCTGGGTATAATAGAACAAGTACTCAGATTCCAACTACTTAAAAGCAAGGAAGGGTTCAACAAAATTTGTCGTTGTACTTTGTGGTAATAATGATTTCTCTGGCAAAAGAAAATGAAACAGAAAAGAATAATTATGAAAGAAATTCAAGATAGAGTGAAAAGGATGTTGGTCAGTGGACTTAGAGAAACTGTGTTTTACTTTTCTATGGCTAAAGTAATTCAAATATATGAATGTCATTCCAGGTCCTTAGAGAATACAAAAATTGCATTCCAAGGAAATTTTTAGGTCATGAAATGCTGCACAACTTGCATTTGGTTTAGTACCAAGATTAATATTTTATTGCATTCATATTTATTCAGTGAAATGTTTAAATTTGATCTTTATGTAATGATGCCACTGGGCATGCTGTGAGAATTTTTTTTTTTTTTTTTTTTTTGGTACTGGGGCTTGAACTCGGGTCCTTGTGCTTGCAAGGCAGGCCACCGAACCACTGAGCTAAATCTCCGGCCCTAGAATTTTAATAATAATCATTGAAGTATCTCCCCAATGCACAAGTTTACAACTTATTAAAATCTAAAAGCATAGAACTTTACAGTTTCGGGAGATAACTAAGGTCATCTAGTTCAACCACCAGCCAATAGAGCAACTCTTTTCTCATGCCCCAGGACAGGGGTCCATCTGCCCTCTTGATCACATCCAGAACTGTGGATCTTTGCATCTCCTCAGATCCACCAGGTCAACCCTGTTAGATACTCTTTTTCCTATGACTTAGTTTGTGAAAAAGTTCCTAAAAGTAAGACCCTATCCATGCCTTTCATTCATTTTTCCAAGCTGTAAATTCACAGGCAGACAACCCCAGTTTAGAATGTTCGCAAGTATGTCTTACTTGCCATTTTTCAGGTTATATATTCTAGAATCTTGAGCAATACACAACAAAGTATACAATGGTAAAATTATGATCTTTATTTCTACAAAGAGGAAACATTACACATGGTTATTAGGCTTTTCTATATTGTTTTGTTTGCAGCTCGGTTACATTACTGGTTTAGCTGTGTTTGTGTTCACCTAAGCAACCTCTCTTTTCTGTGAACTGTCATTAAGCCAAGTGATGCTCTCTAGGTACTTGTATATTCATATACATATAATGGCCATACTGCTTGACCTGGACCTGAAAATGAGAGGTACACGAAGACAAAGGACAGATAGTTACCACTGAATGTACTCTTCATCTTGTGTTTCTTCTATTTTCTTTTTCTTTTTTTTTTTGAGGAATAGCACAGGGTCATTTTTTTTTAAAGAAAGAACATTAGCCAAGAGTAGATGTTCAGACATTTTTAGTTGATGGGCTTATCTAAAATTTTATGTCAGATGTAATTCAATAATGGGAGCAGAAATTATAAATGCCTCCAAATGATGATGTGTCACTTCAATAGAACATTTATTTATGGAACACACACAAGAATCACTTGTGCCTAAAAAAAGGTAGAGATTGTTTAATTCCCTGTGTTTTTTCCTCCTTTGTTCAGAAACTTCTTTCTCTAGGCACAAAACTGTTAGTTCTTTAAAATGTTTAACTATGCTATGGATTTTTAAATTTTTCAACTCACTAGAAAATCTAATTAGCCTTTAAAAATTTATTTCTGAAATGTGATTTTTAAAAGAAAAATTCATGTGTCCATGAACTGCTATAGTTGACAAATCTATGTTTTACTATGTAACTGTGCTCCTAACATTGATTTGATCATTTGCAATTTTTTAGTGCATCATTGTTTTTGTGGGTGGCATTCTGGATTTGGGCAACTTTTAAATAGAGGAATGGAAATAAAATGTAAAACAAGTTAAAGTTTTAAAAATTGCTCAGAGTGGTAGATTGTAAATATTTATGTTTTATTAGTTATATATCTGACTTCTTGGAATTTCAACTCCAAATATTATCAGTAGGTTATATTAGGTAGTGTTCTCCAGAGAAATAAAATAAATAGAAAGTGTGTATTTGTGTGTTTGTGTTTGCATAAGAGAAAGAGAGAGAGAGA